CCAGAGGCGGCTAGATCTTCCGCCGGTCCTCGCGGAAGATCATCATACATGTCTCATTTCAGATGACGATGACGATAAGCTTAGATTGTTTTCCTAAGTGCTTGCAGCAGAGCGTTTGAACGCGGAACTTTATCAAGGGGGCCTCTGCATACCTCTTCTGGAAAGGTCACCATCGAACGGGAGTACGCGTTCGCCCTCGAGCCAAGCCGCAATTAGTGAGTTGCTCCTCGAGTGCGGGGACGCACGAGTTTGCAGACTTGGACGAGCTTGTGGGGCACAGGATGGTGCGTAGCAGTGACAGGACTAAATAGTGTTGGGTGCACTCAGCTAACGTGCAGTTCAGCTTGCTTTGGTTTCATGAGAATGCCCGTGATTTTGACAACTGCCATACTTGCGATCCTGCGTTGGATTGGACTCCCTGCAGCCCTTTGCCTCCAACTTTGGACTGAGCCCATGTAGAAACCTTCTTGGATATTGCATATGATTCCGAAAGCTCTAAGACGGCCAGAGAACAACCCATATTTGATACTGCAAGGAACAGCTCCACTTCCTCCCGGCGCTTGTCAAAGGGCAAGGCGGTTTTCGAGCGCGAGGTCACGCCCTCCGATGAGGCAGGTTTTAGGAGCAGTCTGCATGTTCCCAGTGCTTTTTGATCCTGATGCCGACGTTCATGCTCAGTGATGTCATTGCATTCTTGTTGTCATTGTAGCCTGATGGTTGTCGGACAATGATATTCTCGCGTGAGAACCAGAACCATTATTATCCTGCAGGGGTGAGCCTAAATCACTAGATGGTTAAAGCCTAATTGCATCGCCTCAGGGCCTTTGGTGGATGTTCGCTTGTCCTTTGAGAGCTCTAGCATCTGATCGTATCAAAAGGTTGGTGATTAGAGGCCGTGCAAGGATTTAGTCTGAATTAGTTTCTCTGCGAAGGGCCCGCAGTCTAATGAGGTCCTCGTCACGAAAGCTTGTTCTGAAGCTTTCTGTCTCCAGCCCAGCTATGCTGGTGTTTCCAAGGGGGTGTGGGGGAGGGGGAACCCCAACATATGGTCAAGTTGGCTGCGTTCCAGCACCAGGGTAGGGTTTTTTGGGTTTCCCCCCCGTATGCGGCCATAAAGGCGGGATGGCCGGGACTGCTTCCGGGCAGAGAAACGGAGTCTAATGATGCCGGCCGGACACGTGGCATGTTTTGGACACAGCGGAGGCCATGTCTGCCGAGCTGAGAGCCTGCTCCTGCCTCTCGCCTCGAGACTTTGGCTCCTTATCCCGTGGGCACAAGCAGTCATTATGATTGGAGACCCTATGAACCTGAAGCATCTCTTGGCACAGGAGCCGGTGACAAAACAGAGGAGTCGGAGTTGCTCGTTGACATGTGGAGAGGTTTCGATGCATTCGGTCCCTTTTCCTCATAGTTTGGCCGGCGCAATGGGCTGAGGCTGAGGGTATACGGAGGCAGCTTAAGCTTGAGAAACATTAACATGTGGAGGTGTTTTAACTTCTCTTTCGTTCTGTGGTGATGTTGTATACAGGGGACGCGATTCTGACGTGCTGCTGCAAGTACACAAGTCCAGAAGAACAGGAGCCTTCCGGACGTGAAGACGCCTGCCTTGGCTGCGGCCTTAGAGCTGGCAACCTGCATAGCCATGAGGCTCCTAGCAATCCAGCTTTTCGGCGTAGGGGACTTGGCAGACGTGTCATGGATTGAGGTCCTCTCTCGTCAGCTTAATCTGGACTTCCACGAGGCCAGGATGCGGGCATTTGGGGATTGAACGAAACTCCTGTCAGGACATTGCTAGATTTGAAAGAGCAGGCCCCCACCCTGCATGGAACGCTGCCCCTTTTACATCTCAAGCTTCGTGTACAGCAGAGGGCCTAGCCGGAACTCAAGTCAGATCGAGTTGGAGTTGTTTTGTTGCGGGTTGCTGATTTGACGCGGCTGGTTAAACTGTTATGGAATACAGCAGACAATCGCGTGTGAAGCTAGGTTTTGTTGAAGGAGTTTCATGGGACGGTTGCCGTAAACGTGCAGCGCAAAGGCTCTGCGTTTCTTGTCACTGCTTGTTTCTTTCAGGCCAAGGCTGCTGGAAGCTGAAGCCCCTGGAGCACCCAAATCCTGCCAGGTCAAGTTCATGCTCGAGGAGCTTCAGAAGGAGCACATGCCTGTCGGCTAGTCAAGTGTAGTTGGGGTTGTAAGGCATGGGCTTAGGCTTAGTAGAGGGTGGCTGCCGTGCCAAGAAACTTGCAGAACACGTAAGGCCTCACTCTCATTCACTCCTGCGTCAGCTGGGCTGTTAGCTCAGTATCGATCAGAATACGTTGAGCTCATGACAGCCGCCGGAAAGGTTAGTGATCATGTGCAGGCTGTCTGCACAGCGTGGTCACAAAGCCCAAAATACCAAAGCCCTGACTGAGCTAAGCCCCAACTCAAGCCTGCAAGGAGCACGAGAAGATCGGCTATTATGGCACGGACTTGGAGACTTTCCGCAACGTTATCCTGCGGGTGACTTCTTCGCATACCAGTCAGCAAAATACCCACCGTTCATTTTTGACTACTTGTATGTAGGCTGCCGGGTGGGAGCAGTAGACGTTATCATGCAGTGACTTTGTGTGCAAAAAAGTGCAATCCAGAACCCGCACCCTTCAGGTCCTGGGCGTCCCAGAGATCCCGCTCGACATGCTCCAGGCCCGCTTGCCAGAGACAGTCACACTGACAAGTACTGTCAACTGTTATCAGGATCATGTTCCTATTGTTGTCGTACTTGAGGTTCATTCTCAACTTTCAACTGGTCATAATTCACATATAGCTATGGTGACCATGATCATCATCTCTTTGCATTCTTCAGCTTCCATCTATCATGAAGGTCTCAGTCGGAAATAAACAATCAAGTTGACCTTTGCCTAGCCTTGTACAATCTACCAAGTAAGTGTTTGAGTTGTCAAAGACTTCGGGCCTCGTTCAGGATTTTCTGGACAATACAGCATGCAGTACCGCGAAGCCGCACGCCACATGCATGCTCAGAGCAGCAGAACTCCAGCTACTCAGCTCTTGATGTGAATTGCTGATGGAGCTCGGATTTTTCAATCATCATAAGCTGAATTGAAATGGGGAAGCCAAGCAAAGCCTTTCAACCACTGGAGCTGCAGACACCGTCTGAAACTTGTTCAGGTGGCTCTTGCCAGAAGTCTCCGTTTATTGGTGTTGGTGAAAGTAATCCAATGATCCCATACCAGAGGGGTTCCATTGAGAGCGTGCCGCAGGATGCTTACTCGCGCTGCGATGCTGCCAACGGGCCTATCAATCCCAGGTGCTTAGCTTGAAGGGGCTGGGGATTTTTTTATAACCATGGACAGAAACCAACCCGAGTTCTCTGTTTTTTTAAGGTTATCTGAAAGATCTAACTTCATTTAGGGTAAGGTTTTAGGTTTTAGGTTTTGATGTTCAGGGCTCAGGGGAGTGCGACGAAGGGCAGGGAAAGGGTACTCAACCTTGCTCATTCATCATTGATCATTCTCACGTTGGGACTCGGCATCAAGGAAACTCTGAATGGGTTGCATCGGCAAATTCGTATGCATGTCGGAATTTTGGATTTGCAGCATGTGACCTCATTGCAGCTTGAAGGGCGCGCCTGTAGCCTGCCTTTTTTGCCCCTTTGAGGAAACTTAGAATTGTTTCAAAATGAACCCTCAAGCCCTCCCACGAGGAATTTCATGGCCTGGTACCGTGATCACATCTTCGCTCTGTCTCGGAACGCCAATTCATCAAGTGATGACAGGCAAAGCTCATTTTGGATTTGCAGTGCTTGGGTTGAAGGAATGTGGGATGCTTTTTTTAGCGTCTGTGGATGGTGGCCATTCTCTGGTTGCAAGCGCTTCTCATCAGGGGCGCCAGGAGCAGGTTCCTCTTAGCTAATTAGGCAATGGTGACCGGTGCATGGAACCTTTGCGAACTCTGGGCCTTCCGCCTTATGCATGCCAAGATCAAAAACGCCAATTAGGAGGGAACGGGGTCAACGAATTACAACCTTTTGCAAGCCACGAGTAGGAACTATTCTCGTCCACAAGGAAAACCCTGACAATCTGCAATCCTGCAGTCTCAAACCCACAAAGCCGCAAGGCCCTACATCAGCTTTTGATTTGAACTTGGGTATTATTTTGCTTCTAGCCTCCGCTTGGAGTCTCAGATCCGGAGACATTGTCAGGACATGTGCCATTACCGAACTTGCAGGATCGTCAGCAAGAGAAGAGGTGTATTAGGACAGAGGCTCTGGAGGCTTTACTGTATCATGAAGCTGTACTTGTGCATGTCATTTCCTCTCCGCTAGCCCCCAGACACAAATCTACACTGAGCTCCTACCTTAAGATTGCAGAAGGAAGGCTGACGACTTGACCCTTGCACTGGCCAAGAAGCACCAATGCTCCTGCATCGATCTTGACAAGGCCGGGGAGGAAGGGCGACTCCAACAACAGCTACCATTAGACTCTAATCGAGATCTGTCTCGGAGTCTTCAAGAGACTGCACTCTTTTCCCACTTCTGAAGGGAACTCAAGACAAGCGATTATCTCGCACATATTGACAGCAGCGTTTTTTTTTTTATATTTTTCCGCAAGTTATTCTCGCTGGTCTGGAAGAGGATGTACTCGCAGGTGAAGCTGCAGTACGACAGCTATGACCTGGACAAATCCGGCTCCCCGAACTTTGATACGCCTCTTCAGGGGAAGGGTTCTGAGTTTTTTGTTCGAATGCTTGTCAAAACAGCCCGCTGGAGGCCGCTGCTGGGTTCTTTGTGACATATTTTAGGTTGGTCAGATGTGGGCGGTTGAGTTGCTCCATGCTCTGTCCGGATGGAGCAGGAAAAGTGCACCAAGAGAGTATGTGGCCTTCATGTTTTCTGGCTTTCAGACGGAGAAGACAGCCATTCCAGCTAATACAGGCCAGCAAATCATGCCATTGGCGCGCCCTGCGCTATGCAAGGTGTGATTGAGTACTCCGAATTTGAGCTCATGATGCTCAAGCTGCTTCTTGACAGCACCCGGCAAGATGTGTAAGTCCATGTGTATGACCAGTCCTGCTAAATCCTGCGAAGGCTCCATGTCGGCAACAAGTCTGACTTGCCGCAGAACCGCATTCAGCGCTTCTGGCAAGAGTTGGACAAAGACAGGACTTCGGGCAGACCAAGCAGCTATGTCTGAGTCAGGTTGAATCAGGCCACGGAGGAAGTAGCAGTAGCATCAGGAGCATCAGCGTGAGTATGAAATGCAGTTGACAGCTCAGCAGCGTTAGCTTGCTGGAGAGTCTGAAAGGCCCGACTCCAGAGCCCTCGCACCCCTCCTGCCTCCCAAAACTGCACACTGTGTCCAAGTATGTCATCAGACCTTCGACTTGATGTGCAGAGGAGTGGCTCTGTGGACTTTGCAGAGTTCACGGAGTGGTACCTCAAGTATTTCAATCTGGCACAGGAGCTGGCAATGCATTTCATGTTGTGCGCCTTGTGTGGACGCTCGCTCAGCCAAGATTTGTCAGCTGCTTAGCGGATGCCTCGGCTCCTTCTGCATTATTTGCAATTTGTTTGTTTCCTGAGGAGCACGGCCCCATCGAGGCTGGAGCGTTTTGTTGAAGAGAGCCGGGGGGCTGTTGGTACTATTCCTTTCAGGTTTGCATTCCAACGAAGCTTCTCTGTTAGCAGCTCCTGGTTGCAGAAGTGATTAAGTTAAAGAGGCTTTCTGTTAAAGCTGACAAGGAAGATTCGTCAAAGTTCATGCGCAAAAATTATGCAATCTCTTGTCATGCTGAGCAACAAAAAGCAAGCTGGATGATAGACTTTGCCTTGTCTTGGCCATGTGTCCTTGCAAGCTGCAATGCAAGTTCTCCTTGATATCTGGACAATTTGAAGCGACCTCACCCGACCTTACCCTGAATGATGGTTTATATAGGGCATAGTATCAACATGGTCTTAAATTGGCAATTGAAATTGTCCTAAAGTACCTTGTGGTATGCTTCCTGAAACATTCTCTGATGTAAGCAATAAGCTCTTATGCCGGCACTGCTTTCTGTTTGCAGGACTGCTTGCTATCTGATATCTGTCACCGCCAACTGACACTAGAAGGAACCAAGTGCAAATGGCATCTGCCAGACAACTTCATAGCTAAGTCTACGTACAGGTACAGCTTGCTTCAGCTGAAGCCCTTCAGACTTACGGCTAGAATCTCCAAGAGCTTCACATTTTCTACAGGCCTTCTACGCATCCTTTGGGCCCGGCTTTCAACGCGCGAGCTCGCTGGAGGCCATGGTGAAGACTGCCGCCTGGACTGATCCCGCTTGAGATTGTAAGGTGTTCGTTCCTTGTTTGGGATTCTGGGATCTCTGCTGCGGGGCTCGTGGATTAGGACTTATAGGCCAGGCCGATACACTTGCAAGAAGTTTGCCCTCAACCCGTTTGGCAAGTCTATTGCGTTCAGCGCACCAGATAGCATGCACATTGACATAGTTCCGACACTTTCAGTCAGAATTTGGGCTGGAGCGGCCATGAAGTGGTGTACATGCTCGGTTTGCAAACAATTCCTGACAACCAACGCCTCTCCATCCAGCTTTCAAAGCAATGCAAAGCAAGACGGGAATCCTCGTTCGCAAAGCACAAGCCAGCTGGGCAATGGGATGCTTTTTTTATTGATTGGTCTTGGGTCGTTGTTGGTAACTGTTAGGCTTGCTGAGTTCAGAGTGCATCTCAAGAACCGGTCTCAGAGATGTAGACGCTGCATTTTCATAGGGATGTGGTATTTGGGCAGCCATGCCTGCAAGCTCTCAACTTTGCCTTCATTTATTGAGTGGATGTTTATTTCGGGATGTTGGGTTTGAATTTGAAGCTTCAAGAACCTGGCACGAGCGAGAGGGTTCCAGTATCTGGGATGTGGTCGGTGGGCAGGCTTATTAGTTGAACTGGAGCTCAGGACTCCAACAAGCCGAAAATGCCTGCGTCCCTCTGCCCTCCGAAGGAGGAGTTTGATGTGTCATAGATATTCAGACCCAATGGGATTTGCATCGCGGACTTAAAGGCGTCAGGTCTGCAACCTGCGCTTAAAGTCACGGTTTGAGGATTAGGACACAGGAGCATCTACGTAGAATTGCGCCATGCTCCCTATTGCCATGGAGACCTTGAACGAAATCAAGGTCCCATAAGAACGAAAGGGGACGGAGCAGCATCCGAGAAATGATAAGTGCTATGAATACAGTTGAAGCATAAAATTGCACCACCAGCCTGGCAGCCGCATGGTCCCAAACAGCCCGACACTTTTAAAAGCCCAGCAGGATCAGCAGTCTCAGAAGATGAACAAGATGCAGTTCCAGCGTCGTGAGACAATCGGGTGAGCGACGTTAGTGATCTCATCTTGGAGGCCGGCAGGGAAGAGGCTTCTGACTTTTGAGAGCTTAGGGCGTTTTATCAAAGGCCCGGATATGCGTCCCTAGAAGCCGCTGTCCGCCCCGGACTGCGTTGCTTCAAGCAGACTCCGCCCACCATCGTCTCAATAATGCCCCCAAGCATGCAAGATTGACCATGATGAACGGCACCAGGCCGGATTGCATTCACAAATGATCACAGCACCTGGTCCTCCTTATCAATACATAGGTCCACGGGGTGTCTGAGGACGAAGAACACGATTGCCCCACGATGACGCATGAATGGCATGCCAGCGAAGGTTCAAGAGCTTCAGCGGAACAAGGAAGCAACAGCTCCCTTCTTGCAATCCGATCCCCGCACCTCCAAGACTCCAGAGAACCTCATGGCATGCTTGGCTGCGAAGGATTCATGAGAAATTGCTGTAGAAAACAAGGGGGGGCCCAACCACCTGTGCTTCGAAGGTTTTCAACATCAGTTCCCATGTTTTTTTTCCCTTGACTCTGCAGGATCTTGGCGTGTGGTCGGCCGTAAGCTCCTTCACACGCTTTCTGCACCTCTGGGTGCCATGTATTTTTGAAACCGCGGGCAAAGCACCTTTAAGCACCAACGCCCCTTCGGGGATCAATAATATGAGCGGCCAACATCGCGAAAAGCGACTTTCCGACGGCCACTCCCTGTTTCAATTTTGGTGAATCCACACAGGCCGTCATGTGTAGGAAGCACATGGCTAGCTTGGCTGGGTCCCTTCATCTTTAAATGTCCGAGGGTTCTAAGTCATCCCAGGGCAGTTCCACAGTTTTGGTGGGAAGAGCTGGAATGCAGCGGGAACTCGACGAAAAGCATCTGGATTTTTCGCTGAGTTTTGCCGAGGAGCCCAATCACAAGAAATTGAGAGATCACAGCCGATTTCATATCGGTCTTGTTAGCGTTGTAACCAAGGGCAGCTTCTAGAACTGGTCAGAACAATCGGCTACCATTCCACTACCCGCAGAAGAGAGACTCTGAAGCTAGAAGATTGTTTACCACAGTCACACTGCCCAACAATTGCATGCTGGTTGAGGGGGCGGCCCCCCAACACCGGAGAGCATGACACTTGTGCATAGCTATTTCTCAAGCACGGTAGCAAGCTAACACAGGAAGTGTGCCCAGAGTGCATTCTAGACCAGAAGTACCATCCAAATCACAAATGGCTGTGCCAAGTTCCAGCATGTGGGCTGCCGTCAAGTTCTTTTCATTCCACAGTACGGCGCCAATTAGGTCAGGGTTCCCACCCGCGACCCTAGTTTGGAAGGCTAGGTGCAAGTGTGGTGGAAGCAGGGCTTCCAGATGCGCCCAAGAGTTCCTGCGCCTTTCTCTTTCCAGCGGCTGCTGCAACGTAGCGCCAAATGCTCTTCTTTAAGTTTGTGATCCCAGCAGTGAAAGATGTACAGCTATTGAGCCGGGTTGCTGCTTGTGGGCTCTGAGTCGGGATGCATCAACAGATGCTGGATCCGTACAACTAGATTCACATAAGGGTCAGTGGGAGTCACTCATTTCAGGTCTTGTTTTGCCAGGATAGCAGTCCACACATTTAGTGCCTAAACCTTGCTGCCGTATCTGGAAGACTGAGTAAGCCTTGCATGCTCAGCCCTCAACCCTGAGCCGTGACGTTCCTGCATCCTGAGTCAAAAGTTTGACTCCACTAGCCTGAACCCCAGCCTCAACCATAAGCACTACCCCGAACCCCAGCCCGCAAATACTTCAAAGCCAGCCTCCCAAGGTCACCCCAGAGCCACAGCAACTCTGGGCTTTGCTAATATGGATCGGAACCTCCTGGGCAGAATGTGAAGAAAACAGCCGGGGAAGCAAGGAACAGGCTGAACGTTCCCTGTGTGTCAAAGTTGACCCGTCATGGTATTTCGAGCAATCTCAGGAACATGAGCGTCTCGCACTGTCCAGACACGCTGGGACTGGGTTCCTTTTCAGCCTGACATCACGGGACTTATCACCTTTGTGGAAGTCCTTCTGTAGCCTTCTCATTGACAACGCTGTTGGAGATTGACCCACCTCTCAGGATAGCTTAAACTTTGCAACAATCAATCGGGGTAAATAGTAGAGGATCTTCCAGTTATAGCCTTTCCGACCTCTTGATCTGTTGAGTATTGAGAATCACCAGGTCGTGGGGTTTGATAGAGCAAGTTTGTACAGTTGCCTGGTAGCAGGTGGACTTCTCAAACTCCTTCTGCACTGGCTTCAGTAGGCTTCGTCAACCTCGGGTATGTACATTGTGAGGATCCTTTCCTTGAATCCTTCATCACATGCACGGCGGCCTGTAGGTGTTTGCGTGACTTTTTCCAAGCAAGCAGTAAGCTCCTGTTTGCTAGAGATTTCCAAGCTGCAAGCCTGTCCAGGATCAGGTCAACCAACTCGCCGCAATTGCAGAGGAGCCGCTCCGTGAAGTTGCATGTGCCGAATACTGTGCAATTTGAGCTTGTGTTTGTAGACATCCCAACAGAATCAAGAAGGAAGCAACATCCGCAGCAAAGAGCGTACTCGAAATTGGTACGAACATCTCCCTGAAATGAATCAAAATGCAGCCGCGGAGCAAGCAGGATCCTTCAAGGCATGGCCACCCCAAAAGGAGCCACGATGTTCATGCAAAACGCAACCTTTGGGAAAAAGCCATTTGCCTTGTCAAGCCGGACTTCCAGGAGCTGACAGATGCTCTGGAGGTCGCACGAGCTGTGGTTGAGTGATATGTGGTCCTTGCTTCAAAGTCTGCCTGCTTGATAGGGCCCTGAAGGTACACAAATTCGGGGACATGCCCGTATGCAGACCGCACAACAAATAGACCTTAAGTTTCTTCCCTAAAAAGCATGCACAAGTTTGTGATCAGTCACATGAGTCAGGTTCGGACCATGCAGCTTCTTGTGCACATGAGCTGCTCGTGCATCAGCCAAAAACCATCCAATGTCGCAAGTGAATAACACCTGGCATGCCGGTGTAGCTCCAAGAAACAGAACTTCCCCGACCCAGCCCCCAGCAGGTCTCGAAAACAACAGAAGAGCAGCTCGAGGGCGAGCTCCAAGAGGCTGGATTAAGCATTTTTGGGGCTGGAGCTGGAGAGGCAGGTTCTCAATTCTCAGCTTCAAGGGC